TCAGGGAAAACAGTGCGTAGGGGGAATCTCAGCCAAGGAAGATTAGCTATTAAGCACAAAAGACACACACACACACACACACACACACACACACACACACACACACACACATCAATGAGAGTCTCAATGGAATGGATAACGTTCCTTCTTCTAATAAGGTTTCCATTTTGGCTTAACGTCATGTGGTAATTGGAAATTATGTCCCACTGCTGTCAGTTCCTCAAACATTGCTTTTTTTAAAAAAAAACAACAATTAACACTAAAACACAAGTACATCTAAGGGGGCGTTATTTCACTTGGGAGAAGAATGGGACTCATTACATGTTGCAAAGGTGCTTTTATAAGAGGCAACCCGGACTTTCTGTTTTTTTTTCTTTTCTTTTGAAGACGTTTCGCTTCTCATCCAAGAAGCTTCTTCAGCTCTGACTGGATGGTGGGGAAATGGAAGGATTGATATTCCTTGCAGACAACTGGTCGTTTGCATCATTTTAGAGGGTTGTTGAAGCACTTGGAGGTAAACAAGGACCATCTAACAGGATGCAAATGACCAGCTGTTTGCAACGAATATAAATCCTTCCATTCTCCACTATTAAGTCAGAGCTGAAGAAGCTTCTTCGATGAGAAGGGAAATGTCTTCAGAGAAAAACCCAGAAAGTCCAGTTGCTTCCTGAAAAAGCACCTTTGGGACAACCATGACCTAGAGGACGGAGAACCTCTACAGACTTATACTTATTACATGATTTTGTCCTGAATAAACTCAATTTAGGTATAATTATTTTTTCCCCTAATTTTGTAGAAATAATCCACCATCTATAGTTTTATGGCGTAGAAGATCTGTGCAAAACTACCACAGATTATTACTGTAGAACAGTTGGCATTGGAAGGCAAAATTGCGCCTGATAAACAACAAATAAAGTTGTATTCATTCTAACAGTGTCAGAATGAATAAATTGTGCTTTTGACACTTGGCATTATAACGCTATCATATTTATGTTGTTTTCTCCTGATCTGGACTTCGATGGCGTTTTGTTTATGGTAGATTTATGGGCTGTCTTATTTTGCTTTTAATTAATTTATTGCATATCACCTAGAGTTGCCTTGGCAATTGAGGTACCCTTTAAATCAGTTAAATTCCTAGCTTCATGAATACATTTATAAAGTCTAGAGTTGAACCTTCATTTATCATGTATTTTTTCCCCCAGAACGTTCCCGATTTTTCTTCTCCCTTTTCAGTCATTCTCTCAAGTAGAAAATTTTGTTCCACCCTGTGGCTCTTCAAGCAAGACATTCCTAGGTTTGAAAATCTTCAAAATGTGTTCCAAATTATATCCTATAAATACAGACTGACACAAGTTGTGTCAGGGTTACAAGTAACACTCCCAATGAAAGAAGACTCCGCGGCTACAAGTTCCTCAAAGTTCCATTTTATTAGAGATATCATATTGGCACCTCTGGGAAAACCCAATTCTGAAAGCTTCTAGGTTTTCTCCACCCACCTGTCCATCACACGGTCCAATCAATGCACTGTCCCAACTGGAGATGCCTCCCAATCACACCACTCCAGGTGCAGGGCAAGATGTCCTTGACTCTCAAAGAAAAGAATGTTATTATGGCTAGATATCTCACCAACTCCCTACAATCCCCCGTCCCAGTTTCCGACAACACTAAATGAGGCAGCCCAGAAGATCCAAAATAAAAGATGGCTTCCAGGACTCACAGTTGTCTAATTTCTAGAGTAAACTTCTAAAGTAAACAAGCTTTCTACGTATCACTGGTTATTTTGGAGGTCTAGACGTGGTGGCTCAGTGGCTAAGATGCTGAGCATGTCGATCGAAAGGTTGGCAGTTCAGCGGTTCGAATCCCTAGTGCCGTATAACAAAGTGAGCTCCCGTGACTTGTCCCAGCTTCTGCCAACCTAGCAGTTCGAAAGCACGTAAAAAATGCAAGTAGAAAAATAGGGACCACCTTTGGTGGGAAGGGAACAGCGTTCCGTGCGCCTTTGGCGTTGAGTCATGCCGGCCACATGACCACGGAGACGTCTTCAGACAGCGCTGGCTCCTCGGCTTTGAAACAGAAATGAGCACCGCCTCCTAAAGTCAGGAACAACTAGCACATACCGTGTTTCTCCAAAAATAAGACATCCCCTGATAATAAGCCCAATCAGGCTTTTAAACCAATGTGCTAAACTAAGTCCTCCCCGAAAATAAGCCCTCCCTGAAAATATTTAAATTCATGCGCATCAAGTCCCTGCCATTTCCTCTGGTTAGGGTTATGGAGACAGAGCTGGAAGTCAGGTATGATGGCAAGAGAAGCCCCGTCTTTCTCCATGCACTCCAAAATAATAAGACCTCCCTAAAAATAAGGCCAAGCGCTTATTTCAGAGTTCAAAAAAAATAAAATAAAAGACAGGGTCTTATTTTTTGGAAAACACGGTATGTGCGAGGGGAACCGTTACCTTTTCGATTTTCTAAAGTGTGGGGGATGATGGGAAAACAGCAGAGGTGCTTCGGCTACTGGGCACAATATCCCTAAATAATTCATTAATGGAAATCTTTTTATTTTTCAAGGATGCCAAAATACAGGGCAGAAAAATTCCTTTCTTCTTCGCAATTAGTCTCTGTAGTCCCTTCCCTGGGACCCGCCTTCAGCAAAACATTACATTTCGTTAATAACCGTGACTCACTCCTACATCGGGGATCGGTCTGCTTCGAAGTTAAAAATAATAATTTGGATCAGCCGCAACTTGTAGACTGGCGGTGTCCCGTTTCTATTGTTTTATGCTCCATGTAAAAAAAAAAAAAAAAAAATGACCTCCCAGATCCAGGAGCTTATTCTGAGGAACTGAATAATACCGATTGGACATCGTTCATGGTTTTGGACAGCAGAGTGATAATGATTTCCTTAAACTCGTGGGCCACCGTGTGGAATCCAGAAGTCTCAAATCGACTCCATATGTACCTACTGTGCTTCTTGCTGCTTTGCGACAGCTCTTAACCGCCGAAAATTATTTCCCAGCCTAGCAGAAAACAGAGTTATGAACACCTGGAGGACAGTGGGTTCCACGGTGTGGTAGGTCTCACATACCACGGCTCATTTTCTGTCTCCCACCCTCCATTCAGCTCACTAGAACTTTTTGCCAATTTTCCACTTGATGAACCTTTCCATCTTATGCTTGAACCCTGCCTGGAATCTGTAATTTGAAGCAATCTTTCTTCTTTCTTTCTTTCTTTCTTTCTTTCTTTCTTTCTTTCTTTCTTTCTTTCTTTCTTTCTTTCTTTCTTTCTTTCTTATCTTTCTCTCTCTCTCTCTTCCTTTCTCCTTTCTTTCTTTCTTCCTTCCCTCCCTCCTCCTCCTCATTTTCTTTCTTTCTTTCTTTCTTTCTTTCTTTCTTTCTTTCTTTCTCTCTCTCTCTCTCTCTCTCTCCCTCTCTCTTCCCCAAAGAAAGTATTTTCACAGTCTTTCACTATTTATATTTTTATCCTACTTATTTCTTTCTCTCGAAGGTGCATAAACAGGCTGGTCAAAAGATATGAATAGCAGTCTTCCGATATTTGAGAGGCTGCCACAAAGAACGGAGGGGAGGTTCAACCTATTCTCCAAAGCACCTGAAGGCAGGACAAGAAGCAATGGGTGAAAATTTATCAAGGAAAGAATCAGCCTAGAATGAAGGAGAAATCGAGGGGTCCTTGGTGCTTTCTGAGCTTGCTGGTTTCCTTAGAAATGTTTCCTTATCCAAACTATCATATTTTGCAGAGTATAAGATGCTCCGGAGTATAAGACGCACCTACCTTTTTTGGTGAGGAAAAGAAGAAAAAGAAATCTCACTCTGCCTCCCAGCAATTTTGCCTCTTTGCAGCAAACAGCAAATACCCTGCTTTACTTTCATTTTTTGTTTTCAGCATACCTTGATTAGCACAAGAAAAAAAAAAATCTGCTCCCAGCAATTTACCTCCTTGCAGCAAACAGCAGAGGCCCATGCAGCAATAAGCAGTGGCAATCCCTGCAGCCTGAAACAGCTGAGAGTAGGGAGGCCGATCCAACCAATAATCAACTTGTGCTAATTAGGCTGTGCTGAAGCTGAAACGGGCTGATTCTTCTTGCTGCTTGCTGCAAAGAGGTAAATTGCTGGGAGGTAGAGGCCAAGGAGTGGGTGGGGCTAGTGGATGGGCAGGGCTATATTCGGTGTATAAGATGCATCCACTCAGCTTGGATCGTCAGAGGCATTTAAAAATAAAAAAGCCTCTGCCAATCAGGCAACTCAGCTTGGATCGTCAGAGGCATTTAAAAGAAAAAAGCCTCTGCCGATCAGGCAACTCAGCTGGGATCGTCAGAGGCTTTTAAAAGAAAAAAGCCTCTAACAATCAGGCAACTCAGCTGGGATCGTCAGAGGCTTTTAAAAGAAAAAAGCCTCTAACAATCAGGCAACTCAGCTGGGATCGTCAGAGGCTTTTAAAAGAAAAAAAGCTTCTGCCGATCAGGCAACTCAGCTTGGATCGTCAGAGGCATTTAAAAGAAAAGAAGCCTTTTGAAAGCATTTTTTACAACCTCTTTGCCGAAGAGTTTTAAAAGTAAAAAAAAAAAAATTGGCCACGCCCACCCAGTCACATTACCCCCCCACCAAGCCACTCCCACAGAACCGGTAGTAACAAATTTTAGATTTCACCACTGGAGGACATGTAGCACGGCCGTATATCTCTCATTATAGAGAATAGACATCTGTGGACATTCTGAGCCTCAAAGAATAATGGAACATCATTCCAATGCTCTGGAAGAAGAGCATTGGAAAGAATAATTGTCTTTCCAATATGCCTCCTGATGCTTCGTGCATCCTTATTATGATATGGATGAATCATCCATATTCCGTCCTTATTTTAACTTTGGGGGAAAAAAAAAACCATTGCAAATGACTTTTGAAAATGTTCTTAGTGTGACTTGTAGGCGTTGGAACATTTAGCCTCTGGGATTTAAAAGCCAAAAATTTAGGAGAAAAAGATGAACTTTGACACTGAAATTTACAAATTCAAAGGAGGATCATTGACATCAAAGATGAATATATCAGTGGTGGGTTTCACATTTTTTAAACTACCGGTTCTGTGGGCATGGCTTGGTGGGTGTGGCAGGGGAAGGATACTGTAAAATCTCCATTTCCTCCCCACTCCAGGGGAAGGTTACTGCAAAATCCCCATTTCCTCCCCATCAGCTGGGACTCGGGATGCAGAGAATAGATGGGGGGGCGGGGCCAGTCAGAATTTTTACTACTGGTTCTTCGAACTATTCAAAATTTCCGCTACCAGTTCTCCACAATTGGTCAGAACCTGCTGAAACCCACCTCTGGAATATATGCTTCATTGCCATCAGAGGTGGTATTCACCGGTTTGAACCGGTTCATCTGAACTGGTAGCGGAAATTGTGGGTGGGCCCGGTACCCCACCCCCCGGCTCTATGCCATCCTGTTTAGGCACATTTTTGAGGCCAGGCACATGTGCGATAGGCAGGTGCGCACTCGAACCGGGCCCATGCATGTATGAAGCGAGCATGTGCGTGGGCGGCAAACTGGTAGTAACATAATGTGAAACCCACCGCTGTTTGCTATGTATTGTTTAAAGGTAAAGGTTCCCTTTGCACATGTGTGCTAGTTGTTCCTGACTCTAGGGGGCAGTGCTCATCTCCATTTCAAAGCCGAAGAGTCAGCACTGTCTGGAGACATCTCCGTGGTCATGTGGACAGCATGACTCAATGCCAAAGGCGCATGGAACACTGTTCCCTTCCCACCAAAGAGGGTCCCTATTATTCAGTTCTCACAATATAAGGTATCACTTTTCCTCCCCCAAACATGGATCTCTATACTGTAACTATTATAAAATGAGCCATACCGTATTCTGTATTTGGATCTGAAAAATTAGATTTCACATTGAATTGTTTCTGGTAGTTTGGCAAACAAAGCACAGAATGATCTGAAGAACTGATAAATTAAAACCCTGCTCCCTTCTATTAGACACTGATGATGTTATCCAATTGGGTAATAGAACGTCTGCAAGAAAATAACCAAGGTTAGAGAGCACCAAGGACCCCCACCCCAGAAAGGACCCCTCCTCCTCCTCCTCCTCCTCCTCCTCCTCCTCCTCCTCTCCATAAACCCCATTCACTTCTAGAACAGATTATGTTACCTAGTTGGGTCATAACACATCTGAAAGAAAGCATCCAAGCTCAGAGAGGACTAAGGAACTCACAATCCTCTCCTCCTCCTCCTCCTCCTCCTCCTCCTCCTCCTCCTCCTCCTCCTCCTCCTCCTCCTCCTCCTCCTCTCCATAAACCCCATTCACTTCTAGAACTGATTATGTTACCTAGTTGGGTCATAAAACATCTGAAAGAAAGCATCCAAGCTCAGAGAGGACTAAGGAACTCACAATCCTCTCCTCCTCCTCCTCCTCCTCCTCCTCCTCCTCCTCCTCCTCCTCCCCTCCTCCTCCTCCTCCTCTCCATAAACCCCATCACTTCTAGAACAGATTATGTTACCTAGTTGGGTCATAAAACATCTGAAAGAAAGCATCCAAGCTCAGAGAGGACTAAGGAACTCACAATCCTCTCTTCCTCCTCCTCCTCCTCCTCCTCCTCCTCCTCCTCCTCCTCCTCCTCCTCCTCCTCCTCCTCCTCCTCCTCCTCCTCTCTGCAAACCGTACTCCTTTCTAGCACTGATGATGTTCCCTAGTTGGGTCATGGAATGCCTGCAAGAAAATCACCAAGCTCAGAGAGTACCAAAGACCCCACGGTTCAATCCTGAGGTAGAAATATTCTTTTCCATCGGTATATAATGTATACCTGTGTTTTCACACCATCGGTAATGCGACCTTTGTTGCTTTGATTTTTTAAAAAAGGCAGTGGGCACCACCCTTATTTCCATGATCTCCTCTCCATCAAGCCCAGTGCCATCAGCTCAGCAATGAGGTCAGTTGTGATATGTATTTTCCAAAAAAGCAAAAACGTGTCCCAGCTGCTAGCCTGCTCTGCTGTTGCCAAGACCCCTCATTGTGGAAACCAGGGAAAGGAGTAATCACAGTCCCAACGGTGAATGAAATCAACTCCAAAGTTTCCGTTCAAATGACTTACATCTACAGATGTGTTTCTCCCGCAACCTGATTTATTTTCGGGAAGAAGCCCAAGTACATTTGGTGATGGAATTGTGTACTCTCTGAGAATCGTATGGAAGTGTGGTGAACTTGCTGGAGAATCAAGATCACGTGAAGTGTTAATACCACTTTACAAGGCCTTGATAAGGCCACCCTTGGAATACTGTATCCAGTTTTGGTTGCCACGATGTAAAAAAGATGTGGAGACTCTAGAAAGAGTGCAGAGAAGAGCAACAAAGAGGATTAGGGGACTGGAGGCTAAAACATATGAAGAATAGTTGCAGGAACTGGGTATGTCTAGTTTAATGAAAAGAAGGACTAGGAGAGACATAATTGCAGTCTTCCAATATCTCAGGGGCTGCCACAAAGAAGAGGGAGTCAAGCTATTCTCCAAAGCACCTGAGGGCAGGACAAGAAGCAATGGGTGGAAACTAATCAAGGAGAGAAGCAACCTAGAACTAAGGAGAAATTTCCTGACAGTTAGACCAATTAATCGATGGAACAACTTCCTTCCAGAAGTTGTGAATGCTCCAACACTGGAAGTCTTTAAGAAAAGATTGGACAACCATTTGTCTGAAGTGGTGTAGAGTTTCCTGCCTAAGCAGGGGGTTGGACTAGAAGACCTCCAAGGTCCCTTCCAACTCCGTTATTCTATTCTATAATTCTTTGCTTCAATTGAAGACTCAGCAAGATGTGCCCCAAAGGTGCTTCATCAAAAGACAACTGGGTTTTGTTTTTCCTTGAAGACGTTTCGCTCCTCATCCAAGAAGCTTCTTCAGTTCTGACATGAATGGGGAAGGGTGGGAGGATTTATATTCCTTGCACTGTTCTGCAAGAAGGGATACGACACTGCCTATCTCCTGTTTACAATGGCCCTTCCTGCAGTTCCAAGAAGGCTCCACTTTCACAAATGGGAAAAGCTTTGTAGTTATGTGCACATTCTGCACTTCCTTTATTCACCCAAGATTTTTAAAAAAAACCAAGCAGGAATGAGCTCTAAACCTTTATCCTGTAACACAGTCCTTTCAGCAGCTCCAAGAAGGTTTCCACACCCATTTGCACTATTCAAGATACAGATAAACTTCCAACCTCCAAGTGGCCTCAAACAACTCTCAGAGAGAGCAATAATGACCAGATGACTTCAAGGAATATAAATCCTTCCATTCTCCACCCTTCAGTCAGAACTGAAGAAGTTTCTTAGATGAGAAGCAAAACACCTTCAAGGAAAAACGATGTCCAGTTGCTTCTTAAAAAGCACCTTTGGGACAACCATGACCTGGATGGCTAAGAATCTCCATAGATGACCTCCACCTCCTCCTCCTCTTCCTCTTTCTCTTCCTCCTCCTCCTCCCTTCTAGTACTGTGATCTCAGTTGGAAAGCCCAATATATCTATGGAGATTCTCAGTCATCCAGGTCATGGTTGTCCCAAAGGTGCTTTTTTCCCAAGAGGCAACTGGACTTTCTGGTTTTTCTTTGAAGAAGTTGTGCTTCTCATCCAAGAAGTTTCTTCAGCTCTGACTGGATGGTGGAGAAGGGAAGGATTGATACCCCTTCAAAGAAAAAGAAGTCCAGTTGCCTCTTGAAAAAGCACCTTTGGGAAAGCCAGATGGATTTTAAACTTTAGTATCATTTGCCGAAGCACAAGGAGATGCCCTCAAAGCAACTCTCCCTTGAAGTTAATGGTTCTCCTTGTCAGGATTCCAAGTAACACCCCCAATGAAAGAAGACTCCGAGGCTTGAAGTTCCTCAAAGTTCCATTCTATTAGAGATATCATATTGACCCATCTGGGAAAACCCGAATCTGAAAGCTTCCAGGTTTTCCCCACCCAAAAGAAAGTCCAAGTCCTTCCCCATGCACCCACATGTCCATCATGTGGTCCAATCAATCAAAGCACCGTCCCAACTGGAGATGCCTCCCAATTCCAGCCCTCCAGCTGCAGGGCAAGATGACCTTGACTTTCTGAGAAAGGAATGTTATTATGACTATATGTCACCCTGGCTCCATACAAGCCCCATAAATGCTTCCAGGCCTGAAACTCCTCCTGTTGAAGGACACTTTTTCCTTCTCCCAAACTATTTTGTTTTGTCATTATCCAGATAGTTCTGCATCCTGGATTTTTTTGGTATCAGCACAGATTTGGCACTTGACTGTGTCAGATTATTCATGAACTGGCAGAGTCATGGTAACAAGGTCAGCCAATGAATAGGCATAGCAACAAAGTCAGGCAATTGGGAGCTGAGGCAGACTGGAGTCAGGGCATGTCTTAGTCTGCAGCTTCTGAGTCTGTGCAGAGAATTGAAACTGGAACTAAGCAGTCTGTGCGTGCTTGTCTGCTCTGCTGAAATGAAACTAACTGTTCTCTCCTGCCTTGTGCTGTAACTTCTACCACATTGGAGGAATCAACTATTGGTATTGTAAATACTTCATCTGTTATTATGAATATAAAGAAGTTAATGAATCCAGCTGAATCAGTTATCTGTGTGTGCTTCTGGATTTGATTTTTGCAAGAAACTCTGATAGACTGGTTGAAGTATGGCCTTCCTAAATCCTAAAATGAACCCCCCCCCCAGATTTTAGCTCCTCTTCAGATGACCCCAAAGACCCCCCCCTATTTGTTGGTTCTGGCAGGAAGTAAAGAATAATGTTCTACTGGCTCAGACCAAAAATTCTTCCCCCCCCTTTCTCTTCCACTCTGAATGCTTCATACCAAGAACCCTCAACTCCCCAGACACAGGACCATTTGATTCAGGAATAAGGTTGTTTGGCAGGAGGCTCTTAGATACATCCCTCAGACAAGCATTATGCCATAAACACTCAGACGATTTGCCATTCGTTGTGAGAAGAAGTTCAGCATCTGTGCTGGAGAAGTTTCAAATCTGGGCCTTCCTCCTGCTATCAATATTCATCCATAAACCTGGCAATCTGTATGACGGATTAGCTAAACATATTTAGCTAATGTTTCTTTCTGCCTGGGATCTCCTGGTTTGTTGCCTTGCCAAATTCATCCCTCGGATAGTAGCCCAGCTTACAAGTCCTTGGGATTTCTGGAAGTCTCCATCCGAGTCCAAACAGATAAAAACCGACCCATAAAAATCCTTTTGGAAAGACGATTAAGAACTCAGTGTTTTCAAATCCATGTTGCTAAGGCAACCTTCGTGGAACATTGTTTTTTTCCCCCACTGTTGTCAATGAAAAATTTTCTTTCATGCATTATCCCAAAGTTGCACAAGGATGTACTCCATTCATCTACTAACATCCACAGGATCTGGAAAAGATCAGGCCAGCAGCAAATTGTCTACTGATTGATTGATTGATTGATTGATTGATTGATTGATTGGATTTGTATGCCGCCCTTCTCCTGAAGGACTCAGGGCGGCTCACAACAATAACTTTTACTGATAACTTTCCATCCACCTAATTGAATCAAATCAAAACAAAATCCTTCTCTAATTTAGCATCTTTTTTTTCCATTTTTCTATTTGAGACAAGGCAAATGTTTAGAATTTGGAATAACAGAGTTGGAAGGGATCTTGGAGGTCTTCTAGTCCAACCCCCTGTTCAGGCAGGAAACCCTAAACTATTTCATACAAATGGTTGTCCAATCTCTTCTTAAAAACTTCCAGTGTCAAAGGATTCACAACTTCTGGAGGCAAGTTGTTCCACTGGTTAATTTTTCTCACTCAGAAAATTACTCCTTAATTCTAGGTTGCTTCTCTCCTTGGTTAGTTTCCACCCATTGCTTCTTGTCCTGCCTTCAAATGTTTTGGAGAATAGCTTGACTCCCTCTTCTTTGTGGCAACCCCTGAGATACTGGGACACTGCGGTCATGTCACCCCTAGTCCTTCTCTTCACTAGACTAGACATACCCAGTTCCTGCAACCGTTCTTCATATGTTTTAGCCTCCAATCCCCTAATCCTCTTTGTTGCTCTTCTCTGCACTCTTTCTAGAGTCTCCACATCTTTTTTCCATCGTGGCGACCAAAACTGGATGCCGTATTCCAAGTGTGGCCTTACCAAGGCATTATAAAGTGCTATTAACACTTTACGTGATCTTGATTCTATCCCTCTGTTAATTTTCCTTTCTGGATCAATACTACCTTCTCTATGGTGCCATTCAAAGAAAAACATGCATTTACCTTGATAGTGAAAAGTATCCACTGTAATCCCTTTAAAATGAATTGCTTAATGAGCAGTGTGGTGGCCCAGTGCTGAAAACACTCATCTCCCACTCGGAACGTTGAGAGTTCAATCCTAGGTAGCGGCAGATATTTCTGTCCTAGGGCACAAAAAGAAAATATCTTCTGTGAACTCAGCATAGGTGTGAGGTGGGTTGGGCTGAGAGAGGATGATTGGCCTAAAGTCACCCAGTCATATTTCATGTCAAAGGGAACTGAAAAGGGAAACAACAAGAGAAAGGGGAAGGAGTAGAGAGGAGAGGGAGAGAAAGAAGAAAGGGAAAAGGAGAGGAAGAATAAGGGAGGGGAAAGAGGAGTAGGAGAGAAGGTTAGAAGGAGGGAAGAAGAGAGGAGTGGGGGAAGGGAAGGGGAAGTAGGAAAGAGAAGGAGAGGAAGACCGAAGAAAATAGGAAGAGATAGAAGGAAGAGAAAGGGAGGAGAAGAAGAAAGGTTGTGGCAAAACAAAGAAGGGTAAACGGAAAAAGAGCAGCCCCAAACAAGTAAAAATTAAAAATGAAAGTTAAAAGATAAAATGAATGAAAAATGGTGGATAAATGACTGTACATGTAAATATATTTTTGAGAAATAAAAATAAAAACTTTTTGAAAAAAAAAAGATTTCATGCCTATGGCAGGATTAGAACTCACCATCTCCTGGTGATTGGCCCAAAGTCACTCTAGCCAGCTTTCATGCCTAAAGCGGGATTAGAACTCACGGCCTCCTGCTTTCTAATCTGGTGCCTTAATCACTAGACCAAGTGATTTGCATATTCATTTGGATACCAATTATGCAAATAGCTTGGCAAAAAAAAAAAAAAAAAAGCAGAGTTGATTCCTAATTTGGGGAAACAGGGTAGAGATTCGTTCCTCCTCTAACACAGCTTTCCGGCTGATGTTTTTCAGAATGGATATAATTACGGTGTAGATATTTTCCCCTCTCCTCCCTTACTGTTGTTGTAGACTGGAGTTGTGTAGTATCTGGCAGAAGATGGAATCCAGCGTGCGAACAGATGCGGGACTGCATTGTGGCTGCTGTCTGGGAGCGATGTAGAAATCGTGTTTCATATTAATTTAGCAGATGTTTGGTGTTTTTTCAAATTAAAGGTAAAGGTTCCCCTCGCACATATGTGCTAGTTGTTCCTGACTCTAGGGGGTGGTGCTCATCTCCATTTCAAAGCCGAAGAGCCAGCGCTGTCTGAAGACGTCTCCGTGGTCATGTGGCCGGCATGACTCAACGCCAAAGGCGCACGGATCACCGTTACCTTCCCATCAAAGGTGGTCCCTATTTTTCTACTTGCATTTTTTACCTGCTTTCGAACTGCTAGGTTGGCAGAAGCTGGGACAAGTCACGGGAGCTCACCCCGTTACGCGGCACTAGGGATTCGAACCGCCGAACTGCCGACCTTTTGATCGACAAGCTCAGCGTCTTAACCATTGAGCCACTGCGTTCGAATTAGGTAGTTTCAAATAAGAGATGCCAGACAGAGACCGCAGGTGAAGGAATAAAATATTAAGCCTGTAAAATGAGTGTTTTACAACATTCGGTCACGTGAATGAAGCATCCTGCTTCGAAGCATGAAAATAACCACATCCTCCGATGCGTTGAAGGCTTTTCCCCCATTCGGTGTGCCCGTGCGCGCGCGGATAACGCTTTTCCCAGGATGATCGCTGAAGATGCATGGAAAAAACACACCCGTGTAGCCATAGATGGCTTTAGTGTGTCATTGAAGCAGCCATGTCAAAGGTTTTTAGAGGACGTGGGTGCTTTCACGCTTCGAAATGGTGCACCTCGGTCGTTGCTAATACGTTTTGCAAAGTACCCCTTTCTGAGCTTTGCACAGACATAAATAAATAGAAAAGGAAAGGAAAAAGAAGGATCATTTTTACTGGCAGATTAGGTAAACTGGAATCTCTCCAGATAGCATATATGCAGCTCTTGCTACCCTGAATTCTACATCTTTAAGAGGAGGGTGAAATTATCTTAAAAATGGAAATAAAAATTGGAGCAGTACTTTGTCCTTCCTTCCTTCCTTCCTTCCTTCCTTCCTTCCTTCCTTCCTTCCTTCCTTCCTTCCTTCCTTCCTTCCTTCCACTGTCCCTCCCTCCCTTCCTTTCCCTTCCCCTTTCCCCTTCCCCTCCCTTCCTTGCTTCCTCCCCCTTCCTTTCCAGATGACTTCCCTTTCCCTTTCCCCTTCCCCTCCCCCTTCCCCTCCTTCCCTCTTTCCTTCCTTCCTTCCTCCCTCCCTTCCCTCCCACCCTCCCTTCCTTTCCAAATGACTTCCCTTCCCTTTCCCCTTCCCCTCCCTCCCTCCCTTCCCTTCACCTTCTCCTTGTCTTCCTTCCTTCCCTCTTTCCTTCCTTCTTTCCTCCCTCCCTTCCCTCCCTCCCTTCCTTTCCAGATGACTTCCCTTTCCCCTTCTCCTTCCCCTCCCTTCCTCCCTTTCTTCCTCCCTCCCTTCCTTTCCAGATTATATCGTCTGTGGTATAAATTTGCCACCTTTAAGCTGTCCAAATTCTATGCTTCTAGCACACTGGCAAATCTAGCCTAATCCATGTCCCAATCTACGTAGCAACTTAAGAATTCCACGTTCGTTTACCATCCTTCGGTAGCCATCCGGTTGTTGTCCAACTTCCCTCCTACAGGTTAGACTTTCATTTCTGTAATCCCTGGAGAAGAAAGTCGATGAAATCTAACACTTCTGAGGGACACCAAATTAGAAAAGATTCTGTAGAACATCTCCAGAAGTTTGCCTTTGTTTTTGGTAGCCTTAGGATTTAGTCCCTCAACTCTTTTGTTGCACGTTACTCTTCCTTAAAATCTTTTATTTCAAGGGTTTCCCTGGGACAAATTTATAGCTTCTCATATCCTGGATTTATGTATACAAATTATATAAACCTAAAACGAGATAGCCAGCTGAATCATTAAGACACTAAGCCAGGAAATCAAATTAACCAGCCACGTTCATAGGGAACTCTGCATCCTCGTCCACTAATAAAACAGACCCAACAGATGTTAGCTGCTTAAATGCTTTAGCTTCATCATCTGGTGACATAATGTGGAGATAAGAATCAGGCACACAATAATGTATGCTCAGGTCCTGGGTGAATAGAGCAGTCAGTCCTCCAGACCAGAAGTCTAGGCTGATGTTTGTTTTTTTTAGATTTTAGTGGGACATATAGAAAATTATTCAAGAGAGTAAGTTGTCTAATTTAGGGAAGGAGAAAGTCTGGGAAGGGAAGGGTAGTGAAGGGAAGGGAAGGAAGAAGGGAAGGGAAGGAAGAAGGGAAGGAAGAAGGGAAGGTAGAAAGGAAGGCAGAAGGGAAGGGAAGGGAAGGGAACGGTAGGGAAAGGAAAGGAAAGGAAAGGAAGGGAAGGGAAGGAAAGGAAAGGAAAGGAAAGGAAAGGAAAGGAAAGGAAGGGAAGGGAAGGGAAGGGAAGGGAAGGGAAGGGAAGGGATGGGAAGGGAAGGGAAGGGAAGGGAAGGGAAAGGAAGGGAAGGGAAGGGATGAGATGGGAAGGGAAGGGAAGGGAAAGGGAAGGGAAGGGAAGGGAAGGGAAGGGAAGGAAAGGAAAGGAAAGGAAAGGAAAGGGAAGGAAAGGAAAGGAAAGGAAAGGAAAGGAAAGGAAAGGAAAGGAAAGGAAAGGAAAGGAAAGGAAAGGAAAGGAAAGGAGGGGAAGGAAGGATTGAAGACAGAGAGCAGGCAAGAAGGAAGGAAGGAAGGCAGGAAGGGAGGGAGGGAGGGAGGAAGGAAGAAAGGAAGGAAGGAAGGAAGGAAGGAAGGAAGGAAGGAAGGAAGGAAGGAAGGAAAGAAGGAAGGAAGGAAGGAAGGAGAACTTTTACTTATTTTAAAAAAAACCTGTGACAGTAGCTATCTCTATCATCTATCACATCATCTCACATTGCTGGTAATTAATACGAAACGAGCCCCATTTTTTAAAAACTAGGATGGTTGAGAGGCAATATTTTTGCCATCATTGCTATCGCCTACAAAAATCCCTTGCAACATAATTTATGTTCAAGTTAAGTTGGCATTCAGCTCTTAAAACATGGGCAATCATGTCCTTTCTTGTTTTCTTGCTGTCTCAACCCCTTTTCCCCCCACCCCCAACCCCGTTTCTAAGAATGTTTAACTGGCCAAGAATCTAAAATAAAAATAAAACATCTGCATTGATTTCACTTTTGATCTTAAAAGCAATCCCAGCTTCTTCATCTTCTTTTTTTTATCACATATTCTTCCCCTGATTCAGTTCATATGCACTTCACTTACAATATAATACAATATTATATTTTGGTATCCTGTGCTGACATCTGCTGGGGGAAATCGTTTTTTGATTCCAATTGCAATTTAACTTCAATCTAATTTGTTAGGCATTCCAAGATTTATTATTTTTTTTTAAAAAAAGTTATAGGATTGCCAGGTGTCCACTATTTGAGCGGACAGTCTGCTTTTTTCACATTATGTTCACTATTTTTTTTCACAAAATAGTGGACATTTTTTTTATTCAAAAGCTTTATGATGAAATGGTAGGTAATCTAAAGCTGTACAGTCTAAGAGAATAAGGATGGGAGAATCGCGTTTTGTCTTTTTTTTCATAAGTTAGAAAGATCGAATATCCATTGAACTCGATTCTCCGAAAAAATTAATGATGAGATTAAAATAAAAATATATTATAAAATTATGTACAGTTCACATTTTTAAAATGTATTGTAGCTTGTGTCGACTGACCTAAAATGGCGAGTTAAAATGTTTGTAAGAAAATATATAATTTAATTGTAATTTTTTTAAAAAATTTTTTTACTACTTAACACACACACACACCCACACTTGTCCGTTATTTTTTGGAAGCAGACCTGGCAACCCTAAAAAAGTATCTGTTTAGGATGCAAATACCAACAATTATTATTATTATGATTATTATTTATTAAATTTTTAAATTAATGCAGAAAATTAAGAGTATAAAATTAAGAGTATAAAATAAAAATAAAAAGTATATATCCCCTACAATGAATAGTTTAAGAGCAGTGGTGGGATTCAAATAATTTAACATCCGGTTCTTTGCCCTAATGACCGATTGGTGGGCGTGGACAGGGGGTGTGACAGGCAGCACTCGGCCTCCTGCACCCCCCCTGGGAGCAAACACAGGCCATGGGAGCGGGGGGGGGGGACACGCTGCCCCACCGGTGTCCCGTTTTGGGCCTATTAGGCCTCCCTGCAGCCTCCTGGGAGCAAAAACGGGCTGCCGGGGGGGGCTGCACGGTACTCCTGGCACCCTGTTTTGGGCCTAGTAGGCCTCCCTGCAGCCTCCTGGGAGCAAAAACGAGCTGCCGGGGGGGGCGGGTGCACCGTATTCCCGGCACCCCATTTTGGGCCTAGTAGGCCACCCTGCAGCCTCCTGGGAGCAAAAACGGGCTGCCGGGGGGTGGTGGCTGCATGGTACTCCCGGCATCCCGTTTTGGGTCTAGTAGGCCTCCCTGCAGCCTCCTGGGAGCAGAAACGGGGTGCCAGGGGTGTGGTGCAGTCACCTGTTTTGGGCCTAGTAGGCCTCTCTGCACTTACCTTCGAGCCAAAATGGGGCACGTGGGGACTTCTGGAAGGGGCAAGGAGAGGCCAGCGAGCAATTTAACTACTGGTTCACATGAACTGTGCCAAACCGGGTGAATCCCACCACTGGTTAAGAGGTATCAGGCCAAGTAATATTTTAAAACAAAGGCAAAAATATGCCTTTGAGCAATTATATCTTGCTTTTCATCCCAGTAACACACAATTTAGCTACCGCACACATAATGAACGGGTTTTTTTCTATTTTCAGACAGAGATGTTCCCCAAAGGCAGTTTGATCAAATGAATAATAATTAGAATTATTCTTCCACTCTCTTCTAAATATGCCTGCAAGTCTTTGATGCTGAAAATGCTTCATATTTATGACAAAAATAATAATAATAATGAATCAATCTTCTTGTCAGCCCAGTCTCTCTTGA